AGCAGGTAACACGGTGCAGCCCCGGGCGGCCGGGCACAGCCCGTCGCAGCCACGAGCAACACGTGTGTCCTTGAGGCCGGGGCTCTCCTCGCTGCCCCCGGGACGAGTGCCCTCCTCCTGCCTGCGAGTCCTGTCCTCGAGGACAGGGATGAGGGGAGCGGGGCCACCGTTATCTTATCAAGGAACCCACGCAACAAGCAGCTCAGTGCTCGAGCAACACACAAGGCTAAACGCTCCTGTCCGYCTTGGAGCAAGCCGAGTTATACCACTGGTCTCAGAAAGATCGTATCATTACCACGAATCAATTAGCCAATATCTCAACAGACTTCTTTCAATTTCAAGGCACTTGCAGAGCCTTCTCAGGCCATTCACATCAGCTTGCTGCAGCCTAGCTGACAGTCACATTGTCATAAACAAATATTGTTTGCAGGGCGCCTCGCTACCACCACCCCGAGCCTGCCCCTTTAACCTCACTTGGCTTCTCCCTGTTCCTCCCGGTGCAGGTCTGGGAGCAACGCAGTGGGGCGCAGAACGGGGCTGCCCCATGGAAGGGGACAGGTTGATCCCATCCTAGCAGCCAGGGGCACAAGGTTATTATTTAAAATAAACAYATATACATAAAGAAAGAAAATCGGGTGATGGCTACCTCAGGGCCTTCAGTACCACAACACTGCAGTGTGCAGAAACACACTGTCTGGAGATGCCTTTTCAACACATCCACCTGGCAGTGGATATATTCAATATATAACTTACTATGGGTGATGCATGCTCGTTGCTTCTCTCCTACATGAGCACTTCCTTGCACTGACTGCATTAATACAACCCACGTGAATTTTTATGGAGGAATTCCTGTTGCAAAATGGACTCTCACTTAACTTGAAGAAAAAGAAAAAAAAAGGAAATTGGGCAACAGTGAACTTGATCCTATGGATTTTGCCTGCTTTGCTCAGCTAACAAGGCTTCCAAGCAATACGCTAATGTTTCTCCCAGACTTGGAAATATGCCCACTAATACTCCAGGAATTTACACATTTTTTTCTGAGTTCTTGGGAACAGGAGTTTCAGTTGGAGATCTCGCTTTAGCATAAATATCCTGCYGGGTCCACTCTGCCTTTGGCCTTTCTGTAAAGGAAGTTGCAATGTGACGTCGCATGAGCTTGATAAGAAGGGCTTAAAATGCTAAATTTCAGATTATGCTCCCATAAAATACTCCAAAAAGCTCTAGGCAAGCGGAGGATTGTCGGCATATCAGCATCTGCACAGTCTGTCGAGCTAGCGATTATCCGGAACACAAATGACAAAGCAGCTCAGCCGGAACCACACCGAGCCGATACGGGTCCGGCCCGCGCTGCCGCATCTAGATGGGCGCGCTTATCAGCTCTGCGCTTTATCTCTCCCATTCAAATCAGAAATGCGCCTCAGCTTCCCTTTGCAGCACAGCAATCCACGGATCTTCGCTTCCGCCACAGCCTAAGACTGGCTCTCAATTAGGGCAAAATGTCAGAGGAGTTTTAAGGGCATATGCAGTGCTGGAAAACTCTTTGCGTTGTTTGGAGCTGATTTAAGATGTCGTATTTGACCGCAAAGCCTGGTTTATGTGGGAGAGCTTTATGTCCAGTCTCTTAAGAGGTGGACCTGATGTGGACACGGACTTCCCACCAAACTGTACGGATAACTCTGGAAGTGTCTGGGATTCACCTCCTTAAGCAAGCTAGCTTCTGCACGCTCTGTAAGAGCCAACCAGCTCCATGGTACCATCTCTACGGCTYTTCCCTAGCCAGGAGGATTTGTTCCCTGCTTCCCTACACTCTTTTACTGGCTTTCCCTCACACCTTCTTATCACATATACATTCCTTTATTTGGGTTCTCCTGCCATTCGTCCCGATGCTCCTGTTGCCCTGTGCTCTGCTCTCCTTGAGCAGGTTTTCCAGCAGTTCTCCTGTGAACACTCCTCTGCCTTCATCTTCCTGGCAAGTCCTCTAGCCTGCACACCCTTCTCTCTAAGTCTTCTCTTCCTAGGTTTATTTATTTAAGTCAATTATCRTATGACTGGGCTTCCTAAACTCCTAAAACCAACTATCTGAAGAAGCCTTTGCGTTTGCACACTGTTTTTCTGTGCTCACGCCCTTCACCTCGCTGCTCTGCACTTGCTTTCTCCACAGCTCCCCACGGCTTCTGCAGCTCTGCACATCTCGCTTGGTGCCCGGCTCTTCTCTACACGGAAGGTCTTCAAGGAGGAGCCTGCAGGATCTGCCCCGCCACCTCAACGCTCAAGAGCCTCCTGCAGATGGGCTCTCTTGTGAGCCCTTCTGCCACTTCCAACTTCAGTTGAGTTTACCCGTCCTACTCTTTTAGCACTATCTATAAAGATAAGGTCACTTTGTCTCTCACTTTCGCCCTCCAGACAAGCAGTTTTTGGTTTACAAGCCCTTTGGGATAAGACCACCGTGTACCTCCCACCACCCACCTCAGAGATGCTACTGGAAATGGTCCACACGGAACAATCTTATCTGCAACAGCGTTCCTGTCTGGGACATCAGAAATTAAACAACAAATTCCAAAATATTTTGGGGTCGTAATGATGAGATAGGCAATACGCAGTTTTAGATAGGCTTGTCCTTGTAGCACAGGCTTTTTTGCAAGAACTATCAGCTGACATCTTCCATGGAGATCACCAGAGAGGACAATTGTGGATGGATGTATCCTGTAAGTCTTTGGGAAACTGAACTCAACCTCAAAGGCCCAGACTTTATCCAAACCAACAGTCAACACACATGTATTATTAGTCTCTGAAATACAGGATGCCTTTGAAACAACAGGCTGAGGGAATTATTAATAGATATAGACCTCTAACCTTTGAACATAAAGTCTTTGTTCTTCTAACTATCTGCCTCGCTTTCCATTAGGTGACAACAGATGGTCCGGTGAACGTTTAGATTCCCAAGAGCAAACAAATACTCCGAGGTTTCTAACTTGATTAGCTGGCATTCACGAGTACAAAATGGGATGCCGGCACAAGGAAGATCGCGGCTGTGAAAGGAAATCCCGGGGTCATTTTCCAAGACTGAGAGAATGAGGGTAATATAAAAAATTTAAGACCTGGAAGCTTCTATTGGTGGATGTGGATCTACTTCAATTACAGGGTACAAGTAGCAAGCTGATGTCCTGGAAAACCATCTCAGATTAAAACATGGAAAGCAGAGGAACTCAAAATGTTCAGAAATTTGAGAGAGAAATGGTAATTAAAAAAAAACTACTGAGGAGTTTCATGTTCTCTGTAACACGTAGTTATGAATAAGTGGAGATCCAATTGTATCTCGTTGTTGCTATGGAATTATTCCACCATTTATAACAATAATTGGCATTAGCAGAACCAKTTACTATCCTGGTGATGCGCAGTTAACCGCGTTCCCGTCGGAAGGCTGTGCCTGCTCAACCCATGGGGTATCCGCAGCGTTTCCAAGCACGCAGCACCACAGTGAGGTCCCTGCAACCTGGGAGTGCCCCGTGGGGCTGAGGCGGCCCCGTGGGGCGGCACCGCCAGCCTCGYGCTGGGGGCTGTGGGGCTGCTCCTCAGCGCCCACACACCGCCCCACTGAGCCCCGTCGGGGCCCCGCACCTGGGTGGGTGTCTGAGCAAGGGGCGCCCCACGGAAAGGAGGGGGACGCCTGGGCACCCCACGGCAACGCGATCCCGCGCCGCGC